GAACAATAATGTTTTCAATAATCGCAGGACATATTATGATATATTTTACAGGTAGGTAAACCGTATACCCTCGTACACGTTGAACTCGGGTGTCGTCCCGGAGCAATGTGACTAGTGGCGCAAATAGGAAAAATGTTTAGGGGAGGCTCAAGCCCCAACATTTTTTTTTTAAATTTTAATATAATATATTTTACTATTTTTTTTTTAGGGGGATTTGAGTTATTTACGCCACTGGATGCGACTACGAAACCATGTGGTAACGAATAAAATTATTATGCAAGAGCGCCGTGCATGGGCGACTGTGGAAATTGCAGGCCAATTATCGGGGCGGCATGCAGAGCGGTGGATTGTGTGCACGGTTGTTGTTGTTATTGTTGTTGTTTACAATTATCTGCAGTCGTGGGTTGTTACGACGCACGTAGGCGATTCACGGAATCTACGCGGAAAAATCAGCGATCGCCTTTGTCGAAATAAAAAACACCAGTGTATACAGAGGCGGGAAAATCCGATCGTCTGCAGTACGTGTCAAATATATTTTTACTGGCTGTAGACTTAGTAAATATAATATAAACCGTTTTCGTCATTCCGTAATGATAATATCTTCGTGACGCGGAAAAATCAGCGATCGCCTTTGTCGAAATAAAAAACACCAGTGTATATATAAAGGCGGGAATATCCGGTCGTCGGCAGTACGTGTTATAAATGTTTTTACAGGCTGTAGACGTAAAAAATATTTTATAAACCGTTTTCGTCATTCCGTAGTGATATTATCTTCGTGCCCGAACAACGGGTAAATAAGCGAATCGCCCTGTATATAAACGAGACGCGAGCGCGCTACGTATATTGCACGCGCAACGCACAAAAGGACGTTACGCCTCCTCTCCGCCGCCGCGCCGCGCCGTAGTCTACACGAAAAACGGTCCTTTCCAGTGTGGCATGAGGAGAGCGCGGCGGGGCGGAGGACACGGTCTGACGGCGAGGAATGCGACCTCGGCGGCGCGTGAGACCGCCGCCGCCGCCGCCGCCGTAGCGCCGCGCAATGGCCTCTACACCGCCGCCGCCACATAACATTTTCGTTCGACGTCGTCTTCGTCCTCCTTCTCCCTCCGCCTCAACGTCGTCGTCATCCTTTACGGCGCACAATAAACGCGTCTCGGCCGTCGTGTTTCAAGTGTGCCGACCGTTTCTCACGCGGAGCCCCCCCCACTGCGACGGGAGAGAGAGAGAGAGAAAGAGTGAGACGACGCACACACACATTCCGAGACCACCGTTTCGATAATAATAATAATAATAATAATATTATGATCCCAGAGAGATTTTTCAATTTTAACCGTGGTGGGGCCCAGATGCGACTGTGTCAGCTCTTTGTTTTCGTGCTTTTTTTCTCGTGTTTTTCGCCACACCCACCCGAGACTTAGGTTAATATATATATCATAATAAAATACCTCATTCGAGTATCAGACGATAACATACACGCAAGAATGCATGATAATATAACACGGTGACGAGTCTCTGTAAAATATTATTTAACCATTTAAGCGACGGAAAAAATGAACCGAAAATAATCATGATATTGATCTCCGAATCAGCAGGTGAAAAAATTGCGTTACGAAAAACTGGAAAATGTGCCCCGAGAGACCCTGGACATCCGGGGAATAAAAACTTAGTCTTTAAAGTTTTCGATCAGATAAATATTGTTATGTCGGAGGCGTATGATATGCTTATAATATATATTATTATAGATACTGAGTGAAGTCAAAAAGAAAACAGCCAAATAAAATATGAACGGCGGACGTAGGTATTAATATTTTAGCAATGACTATAAAATATACTGGTAACTGGTATAATACCATTGCAGATTGCTCATTCGTAATCGAATCCCTCTGTATACAGACATTAAGGCATAATAATAATAATAATATTATGAACGTGGGTAACTCGAGCAAACACTGAAAGTAAGAAAAGGAGGGGAATTGGATTGCGCAAAATATACAGATTTCTTTTATTGTGATTTTACGACGTGTGAGGGGCGGACGAATGATTTTGCCAACAATTTTTTATTAATTATATTTTTGTAATTTTATTCTTGCACTAATACAAGAACTTTCCGAAAGACCACAGTTTGAAAACCACTGCTCTATAGTCTCAACTCACCACTTGGGCGGTGGTCACATACTTTTGTTTTTTTTTTGTTATCGTATGTCCTTAAAAAATATGTAATGTATAAAGATGATTATCGCGGTTTCGGTTTAACGAGTCTTAGTCATTTAAGACCCGTGTCAACTGAAGGTCTGGATATAAAATACCTGGCTAGCATATCAGACGATATCGGATATCTTACATTGTGATGAAAATAATTAAAACCCGCAGACTATTGTTACGGACACAAAAACACTCATTTTTAAGATGATTGCAATTCAAAATATATAAACACCATGTTGTGCTCTGGCATTCAGTGACATATATATGTGGGAGGGGGGGGGTATTGGGGTCATATTTACATTGATTTAGGCGGTGATAAAATATTTAAAACAATTTTTTCTTTTGTTATACTTTTGTAAGTTTATATACACAAATTAAATGTTCTGAAGTAAAATTGTACAGGTCAAGTGGCGTAAGTTTGAGAGCTGAGAAGGAAAATTCGCATTTAAACATTGATATTTTTGTCTTAGTATTATTTTATAAAGTAAATTAGCTCCCAAAAAGTTTGAAAATGTTATTTGACTATCTAAATTCTAAGTATGTATTATTAGTATGTATAATTAAAGGCTGTAATTAATTTCAAGTATTTTCTTTTTAAATGCACTGACCATGGATATTGGACATAAATAATTAACTAATAACAAAATATCACAAGAAAATAATGGATTCTTTAATACCCATTAAACTAATTAATATAATTACAAATAAATTGGATAGTAAAAGGAATTTCTATATTTGTAGATTTATGTCTAATGATATTTAGGGTAAGATTATATGAACAATGAACATAAATAATAATATACCAACTTCTTAGGTACCTAAATGTTGTAGTTGTAGTACCTATGCATATTGATATGCATAGGTACCTAGTGTCATAGGCGAAACTAGGGAAATTTTTCTAGAGGGGGCTAGAGTTGTATCAGCAGCACAGACCCTGATAATTTATATTTTAAACTAAAATATGATTAAAAACCTGGGGGTCTAAGCCCCCTCCCTAATTGCACCTATGTCTAGTTTGTAGTATATTACATTTAAGTGTTTCAGTGTTCATACAAGATTAAAGATATAATTCTTTCTCCGTGGATTTATATAATAACACCTATTTATTTAATATACAAAATATGTCTTAAAGTGATGTAAGAGTAATATATTATAAAACATCCATGATATCTTAAAGTGGAAACACTGTTTCACACCACAGCTATGGATACTATATAGCAGAGGTATTCAAACATTTTCATCAAGCGGCTTTTTTGTGTGTTCAAAATATTTGTACGGCTTTCAAATTATTAAAAAAAATTGAAACAATACAGATATCATATTAATATAGCCAATATGGGTGATAACAATTAACAGTGACTTTAGTACTGGAAATAAAACTTCAAATAGTAGGGTTATGTGTCCCATTATCGTTTCCATAATCGCATAATATTTATATTAATTATAACTTGACCTATAATAATTTTGGTTTCCAGTGCTTTGATGCGCCTCCCATCCACAACTCTCACAACTCCCTAAGACTCACGACACACAGTTTGAATACCTCTTCTGTATAGTATCTATAGCCGTGTTACACACATATTATATGTATTAGATTTCTATTAAGGAACTAATTCATTAAATATATTGCGAATACAAAATTTCTAATCTAATAAACGCTATTATTGTTTTTTTTTAGCTTTTCAAAAAACTACTTATAAATCAAACATATTTTACATTTTACAGTTTTTCTGAAGAACTGAAGAATATTATTGTTTAAAAAAAATAACTTATATCATATTTACATCTTAAGTCTAATTTATAATTTGAACATCAATTCATAATAAATCAAACTTTACAAATATATTTGTTTCGGCACTGAATAATTTTTGGAAAACTGAATATTTTTTTACCATAGAGACTAGAAGTTATAACAATATTTTAACAACCTTAGCAGAGATCACGACTATTACTCAGGCAGCTGTTTATTGTTTAATTTATTCAACAGATGGCTGTTTCTTTTACTAATGATTGGAAAATTAAATAAAAACTAAAGAAATAGTGATTAAAACTTTAAAAGAACTAAAAACAATAATTAACATATTAAACATTACATATTAAAACAATTTAAAATTTAAATGAATCACTATGTACATACTATCTCATAAGTAATTTTAGTAAGTTTTAATGACTTAACTGTTTAGTTATTATACTTTTACCATAACAATTCAATTTACACCATCATACATTTTATTATTAGTGTTTATTTATATAATATGCTTGTAATCATAAAAAAATGTTTTCTTTACATTCTGTAAGAAGTGCCTGTAATTTAGCACTCAAAGTTTTTGATAAAAGCATTTGATATGGAAGCTACATGCCTATTTATCATACATATTACACAAAATATAAAAATAATAATCTAAATGTAAGAATGAGTACAAGTTAAACAAAAAGTGAAATATACAGAACTATTCAATTTTCAGTTTTTTTTTTTTTTAAATATTTAAGAAAAAAATAATTTTGTATACTATTTAAAACAATACATTTTTCGACCTAAATTTAAATATTCCAACAGAATAAAAATTTCCTATTAATTATAATTTAAAGTATAGCAAAATTGACAGCCACACCAAACATTAATATATTTGAATTTTTCACCAAATTTCTATTTTTTTCTTATAGTAAAGGTTAACATGTATATATATATATATATAAATAGCAACAGGCAATCTAAACATCAAATTTGTTATGTATTTATATGTCCAACAAATGTGAGTTAAGTTAAAAGTAAAAATTTGTAAATATAATATTAATCGTTAAGAAAGGAATGTACGAACAGTAGCCTTGATGGTCTGTCGACATAATGGACAGTCTGGTAGACTAGAAGCACAAGTGATGCATGCAACTAAATGAGCACAAGGTAACATAACAACACCCAATTCTTGATCTAGACAAATTTTACAAAGGCGGGCTTCCTTCAAACGACGGTTTTCTTCTTCTAAATCTAAATGAAAATAATACAAATTAATTATATTTGTCATAATTGTGCATCTATAATAGGTTATTTTTACCTATATTTTTGACTCTAAAAATGGGAAATTCAAAGAGCATTTTATTACAAAATGTTTTTGAAACAATATTTTATTATGATGGTTACTTGTGATAGACTTTATCACAGTGGCGCACATTGGAGGCCTACACTTGGTAGGTGGGTGGGTGGACCTCCTGGCTCCAAAATATTTACATCATAAAAATTCTACTACGTATAAAAATATTGAAAATAAACTATTGAATAATTATAGGCTATAGCCATTAGTCTATTAGCCAATATAGAGGTAACCGATTCAATATGCTACCCCTATTTATTTTTGAGTGTGTGCCACTGAGTCACATTTAACATATTTTTGGTCACGACTGTACCAAAAGTATAATTTTCTGGAAGCAATGGAAAATTACTTTTTTCCGTTTAGTGGAAAGTGAAAGGTTTTTTATTTTAGGAAATTAGGGCATAATTTTAATTTGAAAAAAATGTTCTATTTGAAATTTAAAAATAAATTGTGAACTAAATATTAACAACTTTTAAACTAATAATTTATTATATGTTGGAATGCAAACAAAAATAATCATAGCAATAATCAAATCAATTTTTATTTAAAAGGATCTTGCTTTTGCATTTATAGCAGAATTATATGCTTAAAAATATAATTTTCAAATTCTATAGAATTAAGGAAAGTTGGAAAAATCAGCACTTACACCCTAAAGTGATAGTTAAAGCAACTGGCCTTTTAAGTAATAACCATCTAAATATTAAACCTGTAAATTAGGCAGTGGTCAGGAAACTATAAAAGAAGCTACTTAACAACAAATTATGTAAATACTTTGTTCAAGTCAAGAATAGAAAAAAAAATTATCGCCCTATTGTTTTGTCATTACAAAGAGCAGGCTATTCCTGACCACTAGAATTAGGAGATAATATAATATAATAATTCTACCACTATGGTTATTAGTCCTTAAGTTGATAACAGTGGATACAAATATAAACTTGATACATATTTATTAAATAAAAACAAAAATACCTGAATGAGATAATTTTATGTTCGCAGATTCGTTAATTGGTACATTAGTTTCTTCTAAAATTAACACAAAATTAAACGATTAAAAAAATTAAAAACTAACCAAAACAGTGCGCAAAATATGTAATATATAACTAATGCAGTCAAAATTAAATCATGAAAACAATTTGAATACCTTTAATTTGAATATCATTGGATTGATTGGAATGAATACTGTCAGCTACAAACACAGATTCATTTGTATCAAGAATATCACTTTCATTTTGACTATTTGTCATATTTTGTTCTTGAGGTTCAGAGATTGGTTCATCTTCTTCTAAATCACTTTCTGACATAAGAATTATACTGTAATAATGAAATAATTTTGTTGAATAAATACAATTTAAAACATACTAATTTGCTAACTTACTCATCATCACTAGAGTCACTAGAGTCTTCAGACATATTGAAAACATATTCATTATCAGGATGACGAGTAACACCTATTCTGTCCATTGGTCCTTCTCTCTGAAGAATTTGTTCCAGAGTCAATGTATCTCTAAAATATATTATTTTAAAATAAATACTTATAATTCTTGAAAATTTGTTTTGATAAATACCCATTAGAAAAAACTGAATTTTGATCTTGATTTAAAACCTGTTGCATAAAACTATCCATTGAACGGAAAGGTTGGCCAATATCTTGCAGATTACTACGAATTGCTTGTCGAATCTGAGATGGTTGCAAGCCTAACTCTAATGCCATCTAAAACGTTATTGATTTTTATTTTAAATAAATTTCCAAAGTGTACATACATAGAAAATAAGAGTAATCTTATATCTTACTAGTGCAGGAGGTAATAGCATAAGATCGCTAATTTGTTGATCAGTGGTCTCATTACTTCTAGTTGAAGAACTCATATCAGATGGTGAAATGTTATCTGTTTGGTGTATACTAACAACTTGTCCCTATGAAAAGTATTATATTAAATGTAAGATAGTACTTGCACAATAATAATATAATAATAATATAATAATAGAAGTGTTATACTAAAAGTATTTAGTATATTTATAATTCTACATATAAAAAAAAAATGTATGTTCATTTTAAATAAATTTATAATTTATACTGGGATCTATTTGATGGAAGGCAACAAATAAAAACATTTAGAATTTTCAAAATATATTTAAGTTTCAAGAATATTTGTTAATAGATTAATTAATTTGTAACAATTATCATAACTACTAATAAGTAATAATAAATTATAATTATTATAAATAAAACATTTTTTGTAGTTATTTCCTATTTTTTTACAGGTTAACTAACCTGGTTATAACTTATTTAGCATTTAAGATTCATACAAAAGGAGTGAAGTAATACAAGGATACATTGCAAAATGACGTTGGTTCACAACAACTCCTCTCATCTAAACTTTAAATGCTTGTAACTTATAGTAGTTAATAACTACTCGTTTATAATTCAATTTTTATAACTTAAAATAATTGAAAAAATTCTTATTCAGAATATGAAATTAAAAATATATGCCGAGATTAAAAAAAAAGTTTTCTTTTTCTTCAAAAATTTTGTTATATTATGACTTCCAATTATGTACAAAAATATTTTAAATCTAATTGGTACATTTGAAACAATCTGTGTTTTCTGTTAAGTGAATTAATTATTTTAAACTACCCATGTAATGTAGTAAAAAGACCATACAAATTTGAATTTCGACATACCTCTGTTGAATCTTCAGGCCTAGGTCTACTTAAAAGCGCATTAAATCTTTCCACCAAACTTCCATCCAAGAATTTTTCTCCTTTAACTAAATTTAAGAAACCACAGTTTGGAAACCATTTTGCATGTTCAACCCATGAATTATCAGCTACCTCCCAATTTTGAAGACCTCCATCACAGTAATAACAGCGAACTTCATCATTACTACCTGTAATAATTAATTTTACATCCATTTATTAATAGGTAGGGCCAATAAAACTTTTTTAAACATTAAATGCTGTTGTACAACAAATATTAAAATATTTGATATTTCTGCAAATACAATATGATTTAAATGATATAAGTTTACAAACACATAAATTACTAAATAAATAAAGATAAATAATTGTACCAGTAAAAAAAAATCCAGCAGTAGCCAAGTCTTCAGGTTTTTGTGATTCGTTATTCCATCCTCTGAATGATTTTAATCGAGCACTGAATGAATTATACTTTAAATGAAAAGCTACTCTATGAGCTCTAACACCCAAACCTTGAATATCAATTGGTTCACCTATTTCATGAAAATGTAAAATAATTAATTATATTATTAACAGTAAGAAAGGTGTACATTTTAAAATAATATCATTTTATGTATTTAAATATACACTTGTGTATTGTATATTTATTAATTGTTTATATAAACAGAATATAAATATATATATTTTTCCTTGAATAAGCTCTCAAATAATTCATAGTACCTATAATTGAATTAAATGGTAAGAGGATGTCGCACCCGCATGTGTTGTCTCCGTCTTACACGTACGACATAGCAAATTTTTGTTTGCTAGTTTCAATAGGGCTGTAAGTTTTGATATTAGAGTGAATATACCTATTATCAAACTTTTAAGTAACAACATCGTCTGTGTTCTCTCATTGGTGTTTTTACGATATTTTATTTTTCAAGTGAGTTATGAGCATTTTAAAATATTGATTTTTTACATACTCATACCTCACTTAAAAACTAAAATATCGTAAAAAACCAATGAGACAACACAAGTTTAATAATAGATCAATTCGCTCTAATATCAAAACTGACAGCACCCTATTGAAACTAACAAACTAAAATTTGCTATGCCGTAGGTGTGTAAGATGGAGACAAAACATGCGGGTGCGACGTTATCTTAAGTAACAACAGTGGCGTAGAGTATGCGTATGCTGTGTATGCACAACATACACTTCACTAAATGAAAAAATAATTTTTTTTTATATATTAATAATGCTATGTTTTTATAAAATGTTTTAAATTTTATTCTGCTAATTTAGTTCATAATAAATATTTTGTGCATTTTCTTCCAAGCTCATTAATCATTATTCATTAGGAATGATTAATCCGCAACACCACGGCAGCGCCTCGCTATAGTCCTTATATCTAGTGGCTAGAAGTCTAGTACCTTTTTTTTTTTTTTTTTTTCCGTGTTTGAATCTCAGTCAGGGAGGGAAAAAGGTTTCCCCATTGCTGCCTCCCTGGCCACATCGTTTAGAAGTCTAGAACCTACCATGTTTATTATGTATTTATGTAGTATGTTCACAGTATGCACGTTGGCGATTGCATATGGGTATAGACATTCAGCGACAGTTATTTATAATTCTTATCGATAATATTAATAACAAAACATAGAACGGTTGCGGTCGTGTATTTGGCACTCGTGTATTCGGGTTCAGTATTGCATGTGCTATCGTCGACAGTATATTATTATAAGTTTTGATAAAAAAATCTATGTTTCATGATGAAGTAATCGAAAATTTCCTTACTAAAAATAGAAGAACTGATTTAATACATAAGTAATTTTTTAGCTAGTAAGTTTATTATTTTATTTAAATTTATGAGATGTAATTATTAAAATAAAATAATTTTTAAAAAGTGATTATTTTTTTATTTGTTAAATATAATATTTGTGTTATTTTTTTATGTTATGTACTAGGTAATGTAATATATATATATTAATAAATACTTAACTATTTTGTAGTTTAAAGTTAAATTTTAAAAATAGTATAAGGAGGTGTGGGGGGCGTAGCCTTCCCCGATTTCATTAACTTACCATTTCAACACATACGCTAAACTGAAACCCACGCTACGCCACTGAGTAACATAATTTGAAAACAAAAAGTTGTAGTATAATAAGGTATTAGGTAATTTTTGAATTGTTTTTCAAGTTTAATTGAGGAACTAAAACTATAGTTAATTAAATATTATTAATTATTTTACCTAACTCAATACCTCATTATTATAAATAATAAACTTTTTTGTACAATTAAAATTAATATTTTCTCATAAACTTGGCAAGGTTAAATATATATTGTTTCATTACTAAACTGTTTAAACTGAATTTAAAAACTGACCAGTTTCCTTATGATTTTCAACAAATTCTCCTCTCAACTGAATTCCTTCGATAATAGGTATATTACCACAGTCTTGACTAAGGATAAAGCTACATTCAGGATTGTGACGTTTGTGTTCATCGACAGCGTTGTCACCAAATTCCCAGTGACAAATACAAATATTACAAAATGCACATTTAACCTAATATAATAAATAAATATAACATTATAGCATTTACTAGTCCATAATAGGTAATATAGCCGAATAACATGTGTAATATTATAATTAGTTATAAGTTATATTTACTTTGTCAGTTTGTTTGGTGTAATAGAATCCAGCAGCTGCTAAACTTTTTGGACTAATGATAAATGATACTGGCCAACCAGCAAAAGTACTTAATCTATTGCTTTCATTTTTCAAATCAATGGACTGTGGTGATTCCATTAGTGTGAATAAATCTGTAAAGAACACAAGCATTTAAAATTATTTAATTCAACTTAAGTTGCCACTGTAAACAACAGTCTTCTGAAGGGGAAGAGAGTAAAAAAAATATGTAATATGTACACTTTAGTTATGATGACTTAATTAGACAGCAGACAAAAATAAGTTATAACATTTAACAATTTGCCCACTAGTTAATATCTAACAAAAAAAACAGGTTTATTTATGTTTATATATAAAGAATATCATCTATAATACACTTGTGTTTTAGAGATAAAACTATGTACAGGAAGGCATCTCATACAGGTGAAAACAAAAAAAAAATATATTAAGATCAATTAACATGACCTTTTATAACAACATTAACTTACGTTAACAATTTAACTATTTATTTTTAGTTGGTTTGATTTCGCTAGACCTGATTCATTTTATTCGTTTTTCTTGACAAAGAACAAAAACACTAATTAATTAGCATACAATATATATAAGAAACTTGCTCACAGAAACTTGAAAGAATTAAATTAAATATATTATATTATTATTATCATAAAATATTATGCGCAGAAACTCCTGTAATCATTACAATAATTACCATTGAAAATTAAAACATACTTAGTTGATTGTTGATTTGTTCTATGATAAATGATTTGTTGTAGACACTGTCTACTCCACTCCACTTTCATCAGTTGTTGAACTGTTGAAGCCTGTAGCCTTTACTCTGCGGGTTCGACAAATCGATAAGAATTGATAATCATAATATGTGATTTGTTATCATAACAGTTACCGTGGTTGTGATTGCATTAACCAAGGATGTTTTCCACTATACACGTTCACGCTTAAAATCCCTTCCTGTGATTGGTTGGTTAGGTTACCACACGATTAACCACGATACCGTGTTGTTAAGGCGGGTTTCCACTATACACGTATGCGTGTACGTGCATACAAATCCTTTGCTGCGATTGGTTGGTTAGGATCAGTTACCACCCGATTAACCACGATACCGTGTTGTTGGACATGGCAGAACATTTTTCGTGTAGGTACACGGCAAACGTGTATAGTTGAAACCCGCCTTAAGATATACTTAAATCTATATCCAAAACAGTAAAATCTTATATTTTAAATAGTGGACATATATGAACATTTTTTGTGTACACGGCACACGTGTTTAATAGAATCCTGCCTTAAAAGAAGTTAGCTGTATAGGTAATTATTACAATATTCTATTCATTGGAACCATCTTTACGTGAAAATATCACATGTCGAGCGCAAACGTAGTCACAAATTGACATTTAAACATATAATATTATGTATATCATTATATCAGTAGAGCCCCCTCACCAAATATTAAGAAAATTAAAAATTATTTCTATGGTCTGTACAGGTCTATGAAAGGTTACTGCAAATAAAAAAAATTGTATAGCCGTACAGAAACTATAGGTACAACCATGACGAAATAATGTTTTTTCGTCATGGGTACAACCAACTCTGTGTAAAAATATTATCAGCCCCCACAATAGAAAACTCCTGGCTTCGCCACCGATGTATATAATAATATAGTTATTAAAGCGTTAATATTATGATATAGTTATTTGAAAAACAAATCTTCTGTACCTACTACAGCCAACAGGATCTGTAGTAGAGTAGGTACTAGAGTTGTTAATTTGTAAGTATGTAAATGTATGTTACTATTTTAATATTAAAATATAGAAAAAAAATACAGACCAGAGAGTTCACAGGTAGGTAACGTTGTTATTTTTACATTTGATATGGTAGGTTGTAGGTCAATTCACATTAATCATCAAAATGAACGGAACTCAACACAAATAGTTGAAATTAAATTAATAATTGCTATAATATAATGTTACGTAATCATGAGCTTGACTGAGATAACTAATGAATAATTATGGTGTATTTAGTATTATATTGCATAGGTATGTACCGTATGTGCATTGCTGGTCCTCACATAAGTGTTTATTACTTAATTAGTAGTTACCTACCATACTATTCTACATACACATTACAATTGTATAAGGATATATGTATATATATATATATCATAATATAGGTAGGTCGTAGGTACCTATAGTAATATAGTGTATACAAATTACAAAATGGCCTTTTTATTTCCATATATATATTTAACAAACACACGTCTTATATAGACGTATATACGTGTATATAAAAATTAATGTTTAGGTAGGATTATCTTTTAATTTATTCAGTGTACGCCTGATAATTAATTACCTTTGTTATTATTTTTTTATATGTGCTTCGTGCTTGCAGTATTTATTCTAACTGGATAACTACAATAGTCAATTTTATATTGTTCGTAGATTAGAGCCATTGGGCATATGGACGCATGTTTGCAACTCATATATTAGTATGTTACTATAATATGTAGTTTGAAATAATTAAATGTATAATATGACGTGTCAGTAATATCCGAAAGGTAGGTAGGTATATAGTATGTGTATCATATATTATGCTCCCATATAGTCGCATAACAAACATGTATTGGTTGACAGCCGACAGGTGTCTGTTCAAATCTATTTTCAAATTTGCTGTATAGGCGGTTAAACACTATTATTATCTGACGTTTTTCATGAAACTGAAACAAAACAAATATTAATAATAATAATAGGAGAGTATAGCCGTTATACTGTGTGACTCTAACATTGTTAGACGTGTTTATTATATTATAAGCCTATACTGTAATATGGTATACCTACGTAACTTTTTTATTACCTATAAATGTAATATCCAAACTCCATTAATATTTTAATTTTGAATCGGTTCAAAAATAAAACAAATATAAATTGTTATTATTATTATATTTTAATTGCTATTAGGTAATTATTGCTTAATACTTAGTACCTACTTAGGTACTCAGTTCAGTGGCTAAGCTATGTGAGTAGGAGGCGAGGAGGGTATTGATCACCTCCCCATTGCCTTTTGCTTAATATATAGGTTTATTATAACAGCTCAATATCATTGATTTTTTTAGTGTACCTACATCCTACACTATAATAATATATATGCATAAATATAATGTACATATCCCCACCATCGATAAATCTTGTATACGCTAGAATTTTTAATAGTAATCATATCGGCGCATAGGAGCATTAATGGAGGGCCAATTATTTACTCTATATTATGTAAGTGGTGCCGTCGCACACCCTGCTCCCTCCCCAAATGACGGCCCTGAATTAGTACATAGTTTTATAAGTAGTATATTCCTATATTAAAAATTGTTTTATTAAATAAATTAAAAATTAAAAGAAAGATATGATGCAGTGCCGTATTCAATGGTGTGTTTGTTAATATATAGCACTCCCTTTGGCCATAGGCGAAATTTCAACTTTTGACTTTGGGGGGGGGGGGCTGAATATATTAAAGGCAAGTAGACCATTGCAATATAACATATTAAAATTGTTTGTCCTAGGTTTTTTTTTTTTGGGGGGGGGGGCTACGGCTAAGTTTGGCACCTGTTAAATATAAATTATTTTGTAACTGTCTAACTAAGACGTACCTATAATTTATGTTATTTTTCCCATACATGTATGAATGTATGAATGTTTTGATTGTCTTTATTTTTTTTTTTTTTTTATAATTTAAACAATATTTTAATTTATATATTTATATATGTTAATGGCGAAATGCCAAAATAGATGCTACTCGTATATTAAATAAAATCGCATTTCGATTTCGTATACCCAGGATTGAATCACGAATACATTTCAACTATCAGTAATCGTTCAACAAATTACTTACCTTACATTTTTCTTATATATATTATATATCATTACTATATAGGCGTTGTACTATTGTTACAATTTGAGATAAATATTAAGTTTCTCTGCTAAGAAAAATTTAATTTTAGTTCATACTTCATTGTGTAATTGAGCAACATAATATGTGCAAAACGTTTAATATTTACCTACATCGCAATGATTAAAATATTAAAACTTGAATTTTTTTTTTTTCGTTAAAGCTTCGTATATTGCATATTATAATATATTATTAAAGCATAAAATATAGTTATATTTCATCAAAATAACAGATACCACAATAAGTGAACACCGAACAGTCAATACTTCAATACTTGTTATATATAATATATGTACATATACTATATACCTATCATAATATTATACAATAAACATATGTTAGGTTATAGGCAAAGGCAAGTAAAGAGTTGAGGACCTTGCTTACCAAACATTTCTTATAGCCTTCATAATTATTATAATATAAAAAAATTGTTTAGGTATCTATAGTAACTACGAATATCAAATATCAGGGCTAGTAAACTATTATGGTTACAAACTGTAAACAAAATTATTTATAATAAAAAATGATTGACGAGAAAAACGCACGCCCTTTTAAAACTAACACAACGTCCAACATATTATTATCCGTACCAGTGTGCCACTCAAATATTTCTATAGTGATAAATATGTCAACTGTTTTTTTATAAGTGCCATTTACCAATAAAAATCGTCTATGGAATATTCTCTTATGTTTACTTGTTCTAAAATTAAATTATTATGGCCTACCAGTCGGCAGTCACTGATGTGTTAGATTCGAATTCATTGATAAATAATTGGATTCGCAAACCGATTATGAACGAAGACGGTTTGTCGAATGTCAGCCTATATTACTTGGTATATTTTAATATTTTATGATTTAGGTAGGTAAAAATTTTAAATCCCAGCGGGAAAAATATTTTTGAATTACAACAAAGTAACTAAATTCGTTATTCTTTGTCTAAATATATAATTTCATTCAAATTTTTATTTAAAAAGTCTAAAATAACTGTGTTGATATATTTTTAGATTTTTTTGTTTTCAGTGTAAATTGTCTTTGAGAAATGTCGTTTACTTTTTCAAGCTTAAGCTTAAAAAATTGAACATTTTATATATTTTACCAACAAAATAATTCAGTACAGTTATGTGATTTTGACGAATTTGTCACAATTTTAACTTCGAATACAGTAGAATCCGCTTATTACTAGTTACTACGATGACGTATACAACGATATTCCGGATAAACTGGTTCCCAGCTATGTAATTGGTTGGTCACGTGCAGTATGTTTTTGTTACCCGGGTGTAACGAAGTTCAGATATAACGATCTGGTTTTCCAGGTCCCTTGAAAATCATTATAAGCAGATTTTACTGTATTTATTAAAAAATTGTGGCTGAGGATTTTTAATATTTTTAAAAAGCTATAACTCGTAAGAGCTTACGAAAAACCTTGTACTCAATTTCCGAGCTTTTTGGTCGAGTGAAATTTTCATTAAAAACAATATTTTTTAAAAAAAAAGGTTAAACGTCTATAAAAAAAGAGTCAAAATAATTTGACATTTATAACATGTATAGAAAATGCTATTAAAAACATTTTGTTAAAATTTCAAGTATCTAGGTACGTTAATATTAGTTTTTGAAGTACGACAAAATAAGAAAATAGAATTTTGCCAAAAACTAGTTTTGCGTATAAACAATAAACTCTCGTTTTCCCGATTATTTTGAAAAGTAGATAGGTACAGGACATTTTTAATTTTTATCTCCCATAAGACATATAAGTACCATATATATAGATTCCTTTTTCACCAGAAAAGTTAATGAAAATGAAGATCGAAGCATATATTTTTTACTATAAATCGTGTATAAAATGAAATTAAAAAACACACCAATGTATAAACACACCAATGTATAAAAAAAACCAATAAATTCATAGCTACTCTCAGAATCTGAAATTCAAATTATCTAAATTGTGTACAAATGTTTGTTTTAAACCCCTAAAAGTTGAATGGTCATGCCTAGTCAAATATTACTCTACTAATATAGATTACTTAGGAATTTATTTCTATTAAACACTTTAAAATTCTTTAAGTCTCCATAAGACAATAATTAAAGATAATGATCATCTACGATCTACCATTGTATATAATATTGTATAGACGTCCTGCAATTATTACGCACAATATACGTATTGTTGTATAGAACAAATATTAAATGTGTTTCAGCTTAACTTTTCAATCACGGTCCATGTAAAATGTAAATATGTTATATTATAATTTATTATAGATAATGTCGTATCACTCTCCACAATATACTACAATAATATATATACACCAATATTATATTTGTATGCTGGTATAATACAACAAAGCATTTTAACACAATTAAAATAAATAATAATTTTTTTATTCAATGTTAATTTAATAACTTATTATATAGATCGTTCGAGTATTAAAAAATACCGAACAAATGCATAAATCTTACACGGGTAGGTATAATATATTAAACACAATAAATATTTCAACTATGTACCAAAAAATAAATAAATAAAAATAATGAACTTGTTAATTTATATAGTTTAAAATAATTATTTAAAAACGACAATTTCCATAATATCTTAAACAGGAGAAAAATCGTTTTATCATCATATTGTTTGAAAACTGTAACGCGTATTATAATAACAGAAGAGTTTATGCCCAAAATGAAATTGTATATTGTTTGTGGAAGATATAATAATTAAGTTATACCTATGTAAATACGTAATAATACTGGTATTGTGGAATGATTATGACATGGCAGGAAGTTTAAAATGTTACGTTGGAATGCATGAGTATATTTGCTAGTTACTGTGTATAAAATCTCAGGATATTGGAAAATTCGGCATCAGTTTTGCATATAAATTTGGGCATGGAAGGTTATGGAAGATAAGTCGAGCCTTTTACATATGTCTTGTGTTTCCAAAATTGAGACCACTTTGATTTGCTCCCTTGTTGGATCCGTATTGTAGACTGATGATAGTTTGGCCAGCTTTGAGTTTGTCTTCGCTGAAGTTGCGAATGTTTTTCTCTGCTTCTTTCGGTCCAATACTTGGAGCACCGAATTGACCAGCCTATATAAAGTATACGTATTAATGTATTATGTAATTTTTATCTCATTATCTATAAATGTAAATGTTTAACTATTCTCAACTATACCTTTCTACCCAATGACTGCAAGCAAATCACCACAGAGTTCAAGTTCTGACGTTCCCATAAATCTACAGATTGGAAGGTTTCTTGGGAAGGTACTCCGATAGATACAGCCACCGCCAAAAAGTTATTGATGTTTTCCATACACTTAAAAGCCATCGCGCTGGTGTTCACTTTCTTAACAGATCCAGGAATTAGAGTGTTTACCAATCTACGGGAAATAAAAAATATTATTTATTATAAATATTATTATAAGACTTCAGCAGAAACTGTGTAAAAGGGGAAGTAATTATGAATAAACGCATATTTTGTATGCAAGTTAGTTTATTATATAATTATATTATAATATAAGCAATATGAAAAAAAAATGGAAAAATGTATTTTATTTCTGGTCAATATTAAAGGTACGCCGCCGTTTTAGGAACGTACAACATGACGAATTTTACGTTTACAATAATACATTTACTGTGTAAATTATAAAATTTGAGTGAATAGACTTGTTATAAAATTTAAAGATAAGATTATTATCTAGGGCATCTCGGAGGTTTTTATTGATATTTTTATTAACCCGTCGTTGGTCGCGTGGTGAGAGATTCTCTCATTACGATATTATTTTGGTCACCACTGTCTGTTATATCGGTTTATTGAGTATTAGTTGTACTATACCTTATCAGATACAGATAATCTAAAAATAGATGGGCACTAAACGACTTTGTAATTGATTATATACTGTCAGTATCTGTTTAACACGACTCGTATGCACACGGTGAGAGAAATTATCTATACGCGACAAAAAAAAAAAAAAATTACAAAAATTGTTATGTGTAATGTATTTTGAAAAAAAAGAAAATATACATAAATACTGAAATATATATAGTTTATAAGTTCTCATTTATATAATAAATATATTTTGGTAGTTTATTACATATTATAAGACTTATTGAAACAAGTGAGAGAATCTCTCACCACGTGACCAAAGGAGTACAAAAAAAAGACGCGACCAACGACGGGTTAAGAAGCAAGTTATGATCTTTTTGAAATTGTATAATATTTTTTGTACATTTTAAAATGATCATAACTTACTTCAAAATAATAATATCAATAAAATCCTCCGATATGCCCTAAATAATAATATGATCTTTAAATTTTATCATGGGTCAATTCACTCTAATTTTAAAAATAACAGTAAAATGGATTATTTTTAAAGTACAATTTTGCTATGATGTACATTTGTAAGACGGGACAGACAACATACGCGGAGGTCCTCTTAAGGGGATTCGATACCATGATTTTCTGTTTTTGTCTAACACACGCGTGACATAGGATTTTAGAAGTGTTTTTTGCCAAACATTCCAATTGATCTATTGAAGTGATAAGATTTCTGAAAACAGATTTGAATTTGTCGTCAAGTCTACTTGAAATCGACTTTCCCACATTTTTGATTTTTTGATTTTAACTTCTCCAAAAATTGAAATAACAGAATTTTTAAATACTCTTTTTGAATATGACATTTTAAAAAATGTGGGGAAATCGATTTCAAGTAGACTTGACGACAAATTCAAATCTGTTTTCAGAATTCTTATCGCTTCATTAGATCAATTGGTATGTTTGGCAAAAAACACGTCTAAAATACTATGTCGCGCGTGTGTTAGAGTTAGACAAACACAGAAAATCACGGTATCGAATCCCCTTAATCATATTTTAGAATTAACATTCAGTCAGTGGCGTCATTTTAGTTTTTATTAGACTGGGGCAACTTTTCACTGCTTTTCCGACTCAATTTTTTTTTCACTCAGATTCTCATAGCATAGCGCCATAGTGGTTAAGGGGTGGGGGGGGGGTGTTGGTAAATGTGCCGACTTAAGGTTGATGTAAATACTAGACTGGAGCAAGTGCCCCAGTTGCCCCCCCCCCCAAAAAAAATGCATTCAGTATTCGGATTAGTAAAAATGTATAGTATAGGTGCACTACTATTTTATAATAATATTATTTTAATATTATATATGCAAATAATACAATAGGACATGTTATATTGTATATAACATTATTATAAATTAATGATTAATTGAAATAAAACGATATGAAAGTGACGAGAGATCTTATGAACAATTCAAGGATAGATATATTTTATCAGTTCGAAAGTAATGTTTCATTTATTACGTAGAATATGACTCACTGGCACAATACTTGTCCGTCCTTAAGGACTTCAAAAAAGTTGTCTGGATCACCAGATGTGTTCAATGGCGAACCAGTGACGCTGCTCACCCACTCTAAACATTCTTGGGCTAGCTCTTCACTGTATTTGCTGTTGATCTATAAAAAAAATAATGTTTAGGTTACTTCTCGAGGCAATGAACAAGATAAAAAGCATTAATCGCGTATCTTAAATATTGTTAACATTTTTTCCATTGTTCTCATGACTTACGCAGTGCAGTGGTTATATTTTACAATTAACGTTTTTATTTAATTCTTTGCTAGTAAATACTAAATACTAATGTAGATAGTAGGTACCAAATAAGAAAGGAAAAATAAATTGTGTTAAAATCTTTCAATGAACTTAACCTTAAATTAATTTTATATAATTTAAATAATTATATATGTATATACATATATTATATAAAAGTAATAAAACTCGATAATGTTATATACTTATATAAATAGGTACATACATTCATTATTTATTTCGAATACTATAAACATTTTTTAATATGTTTACTAGCTATTTATTATATTTATTATAATTTATTTAACTTTTTAACTTCTTATAATGAAAATATAGGTACATTTTTAATTTTATATTTTAAAGCAGAATATTTTCCTGAGTATTTCTTCAATGTGTACAAATTAAATTTCAAAATAGTGTTTAGTTAGGGTTGGGTTGCATGAGGGCACCTCAGTAAAATGTTGGTCCAATACTAAAAGTCCACTCTTGAAAACTTTAAATGGTTACAAATTATAACTTAGAACTAAACAAAGTATAAATTAAAAAAATGTTATTCACGTACCTACGTAAAATTAATAATTTTGATAAATGTTTATAGTTTTAGAAATATTGAGTGTCTTATGTTACAAAAAAATATCCCGTATAATTTTGTATAAACAAGTACAATAGTATAATATTATAATATATTGGTAAATTGTTCTGATTTAATATGTATTCAAAGCCTATGAATATATTTTACAATATACTTCTCATTTTGTTACTCGCCTATAGACTACAGCCCAGATATACAATTTACGATAATTTATTACATAATAATATCTGCTTTATATATTTTATTTATTTAAACATGTCGTCAACTGTGGACTGGCGGCAATTACAATAATAACTGAAGTATCAAATAATATAATGTAATCGTAACAACAATTAATGATAATATAATTTAATATTATATATTACAACACTGATATATTATTGTGAAATTTGTATTAAATACCTATAACTGTGATATGAATTCCTGATCTATTTCCTATTTCATAAACAAATAAATTTTATAATACTGTTATTTAAACATTTATGTTATAGACTTATAGTAATATTTGTATTACAGTAAATTATAGAAAATCATATTATATTTTTTTTTGATCGGTATAGTATTTTCAGCGGAAATTATATTTTTCAACATGTATTCATATGTATTATAAACTATTATTGTAACTTTCTTTAAACTATTATTTAGATAACATTCGTACAATGAAAATATTCAATTTAGCTATTTTGGGTTTTCAATCATCAAAAAACCGAGATATGTGCAAATTTCAAATGAGTAAAACATTCAAATAGTAAGAACAATAGCCAATAGGTATAGTTCACAAAAAAGTATTTTTTTAAAATTAATTTCCCATTATCTCACTATAGTTAACATCTGAATAAGTAAAACATTAATAATCCATTAAACAATTTAAACAATTAATACGTTTATCTTCAAATTATTGTTTGAAACATGTTTGTATGGTACTATAGTATGCTATTATGATTATCACATCGATATTAAGTATTTGTATTAATTTTTATTCCTTTTAACTCAGGCCAATGGAGAATAATAATTTATATTCAAGTGCCCAGTACATTTCTCGAGAATGTGCCGAACGTGGAATAATTAGTTGCTGATGTCATCGCTAAAATCAGCCAACAACAAAAACTCGTTCCTACTGTTTATTTTTTAAATTTCTAGTCATCAAGAAGGAAGCACGTATATCTTACGTATATTTATATGCGAAATCGTGAGTACACAATATATGAGATATAATTCAAAACATTTTAATACCTTTATTATTATCTACCATAACACAATAAAGTTATTGATTATAATTTTCTACATTAATATGATACGATTAATCAATTGATACTAAGCTATAATTTAAAAACATAAATCACTTTATGACTAGTGACGTAAATTTATCTTAATTTCAAGTTTAGTAGAAATAACTAAAAACTATTTTAAAATAATGAAAAATTATATACACTATAAAGAATGAAGATTACTGTGTTTAAATAATTTTAAACTTATTACCTACTTCTAATTATTCAATATTTATTATATATATATAGGTATTACCATTTACCTATAGTCTATACACGTTTGTATTAATTTTAAATTGTCACATTGATAGGATAGAAATTTGCTGATATTATTCAGTAATATTACCTACTGTTGTGAGGACTCAAACGCACTAGGAACAAAGATGACAATACATTTTCCATACATGATACCATAAATTATTCACTATTATGCATAGTAATAAGTAATGACTACCTAATAAATAATAACTATTTAAAAATCCTACTCCTCATCTTCACTTACTGCCCCAATTGTTTCCACAACCTGCCTACTGACGGCTATTGTCCCTATTTATTAAATCGTCTGACATCCATCAATATTCAAAACATTTTCTACTCTTAATGAGTGGGTGTTTCTGGGCTGGAGCGTGAGGGAAGAGTGACCGAGCCAAGCCAATTTCTTAAAATAATTACTCAGCTTTGTAAATAATTCTGTGTGTGTGTCGTGTGATAAACTGATAAACAATACTTATAAGACGTTATTTAGACGTTAATTAGACGTTGAAGATTGTATGCGTGGGATTGAAATATTGAAATTAACAACAAAATTAACTGCGATAAGAAAAGTATAAATTCTATAAGTTGTCTTCTCCGGGTATTTATCCCTTAATCTGACGTGTTTAAATAATATGACCCATTGAGTATTGAATTGGTTGTTCTTACTTTACTTTTTATATTTTTTTAATCTAACTTGGCATAAAGAGTAGAAAACATGGACTTTCAATCTTAGTCCGTGATATGAAATAAAAAAACTTGATGTAATATATCTACTGACTACTATAGTTTTATAGTATGTCTACTATGTCTTTAGTCTTTACATTTTAGTTATCAATTGTAGCGGATAATAATGGATATATTTGAAAAACATAAGTAGACACCTAGAATTTTTTGTGTTGCAATTCTTGAAAACACGTTTCCAAAAAAAAAAACATTATTTTAATATTTTATTTTCCTTAATTTCTGGGTTTATCATGGGGCTTCATCTAATCTTTTGTTTATTTATATTTTCTTTATTATAATAAGTAACTTAATTGACATTGGTTGAGAATAATTTTTCAAATAATAATAATAAAATAAAACTATTTAGCAATATTTCAAGAGATATTGTATAATAAACTAATAACTATTGGCATTAAATCGGATGTCGTGCAGTTTAAAAATGAATGATAACATTTTAATCAGTTTTCACTTCCATAAAAAAAATAAGTTTCAAAGTTCTAATACTTTTTAGTAGTGTTTTGTTCTGAATATTTATACAGATAAGTTTATTTAAAAAATTGAATAATTTAAAAAATAAAATACCAGCTACAATCATTGATTGTAAATACCGAGGTAAATATACTTAGTATTTAGTATTTACAATCTATATAGAAAATTAATTAAACATTGATAATTTTAGCTTATAATCTGTAGAAGTACAATAATTTTTACACAGACAAGTTTGTTTTAATCACGGGTATGAACATAGTTTTATATCCTCATCAGTCATCCCTCATCACACGATTCCAGACATTTAGTTTTCAAAAACCCATTGACCTATAGGTATATACAGCATATGATAGCGAGATGGCAACACAAACGGGCAAAAACCAATCGACCCACATTGGCCATATACGGTATCTTATTTGAAAAAGCGACACGGCCATATATAGAAGAAATACAAAGATGAATCATCGATTGATACAGGAGGCCATCTGTTTGTACTATACATGTATATGGAATCAAGGATTTCGTCAAAAAAACCCTTCATCACGTATAATTGGTTATTACTATAGGTAATTTAACAATATTTAGCTAAATAAGGAATTGCACAAAGAACTAAATCGAACAGTTTAATTATATGTAGGTACTATTCAAAAAAATGATTTCCTAATTACAAAACTCGTCAACATAATTATACCTTGCCAGATGTTATAACTGTCACCTGTTGTAATTAATATAATAAAATCTTTATGGCAAGTGCTTGTTCATTACAGATTATAATGAAGATGTTATGTGAATCAAAGATAAGTTAAATACTAAATATTAAATATCCAACAAAAACTACAAAATATATCGATATCTAGTCGATACTCATGCTCAAGCTGAAATATACGTTGAAATGTTGAATTCATTATAATTAATATTTGAAATTATGCTACACCATCCGAAACATTGTTAAAAACTTAAAACCCCAGCTAAAGCAAATTCATTGCCACACTAATTTCAAAGCAAAATAAATTATACGCTAAGTTGTTAATATAATTTATTTAATGATTATAATTATGGAACACATTTTAGTTATTCGGATGTAACAATATGTATTAATTATAGGATTATAGTTTGCAGGTATATCTAAAAAAAAACAGTTGATAAAAAATTATTTTTTGCATAGAATGCTAGATGGTATGACGACGTACGCATGCGTCATGTTTTTAAACTGAATACAATCGTTTAGTGTTAACGAAAATTGCCCTACAAGAACACGATTACAATTTGCCATACTTATAGTTGAGTCTTAAATATTTAATCGACCGAGACAAAAACTACGATCATAATTTCATACATCATTATTATTTTTATATGTCTTTTGAGTTTATTATGTACAAACTAATTAGGTACAACCATGACGATATACGTGAGACGGCCGACGGGGTAAATATGTAGAGATGTAAATTACGCCTACGCAATGACTTTTTAACTTTGGTATGTCGAGGAGTAATAGTTATTCGAAAAAGACGTTATCTTTGTGTTGGAAGGAAAAACCGGTTCGGTCTCCGCTACAAGCATAATATGTGTGAGTGTAGGTGCAGTGGAATTATCTGAAAAGACGTAATGTAACCGACATTTTATCGGCGAGGTATGCCAGTCGTCTATTAGAAGGTACATACTATACTCGTACTATACAGTCTACCAATATTAGTATAATACTATATAATATTTATACACAATAAATATTAAATAATAGACATTTAAAAAAAACCGTATTTATATGGCGTAACATTACTAATTTGTATTCTTGGGATATTGTCGGAGCTTATATAAAAAGAAAATACCGTGATTCAACGCGAGTGAATAATAATAATATACCTATAGGTACGTGTGTAATATGGTACCGCGAAAAAATAACCCCGGAAAAAATATCCCCGGAATTTTAGACCCCGAAAAAAAGAACCTCGAAAAAATAACCCCGTGAAAAAATAACCCCGTGAAAAAATAACCCCGTGAAAAAATAACCACGGGAAAAAACCCTATATGAGATTTTGCAAATTAATCTAAATATTGGTGTTAATATGTCATTGTGTAAAAAAAATTACAAAATGTATAACATACCTTGCGTACAATTGTTATGTTTCCACAAATAACGTTGTTTGTAAATAAATTTGTTTTAAATTATTATTATATTATTGAAATTGTATTGTATTACCCATTTATGGTGAATATTTTTTATTTATATATTATTATTGACATTTCCATTCGTTTTTACCGTGATTGAAAAATTTGACAATTTGTTTTAAATTATTATTATATTATTGAAATTGTATTGTATTACCTACCCATTTATGGTGAATAATTTTTAAAAATTTGACAATTTGTTTTAGGCCTGCATGTACAACCTTACAAATCAATTTTATTATAGTTATTTTGGTTATTTTTTCCGTGGTTATTTTTTCACGGGGTTATTTTTTCGGGGGTTTTTTTTTCGGGGTTATTTTTTCCGGGGTTATTTTTTCTGGGGTTATTTATTAGGCAAATCGTGTAATATAACGACTGATAAGTTATAACAATAATAAGTAATAACTTATAACGAATGCGAATAGTTTTGGAACCGTAGGTAATTTACTATTTTTTTTATAGTTCCAATATAAGCAGTGTATAATATGGTATAATATGTGCAATCTCGCAATTCAAAGCTCCGTTAAAAATATTTTGCAATTTTAAGTTCGTTTTGTGAACATAGGTTTCTTGTCGGATATCGCTAGTTGTAAATCACACTACAAAATACGTGTTGAGAGAGAGAATGGATTAACTTATCGACAATCGTGAATCGTCGCACAGGAATTTTAGTCCCATCGAATTGTTATTCGTCACCCCACCACAACAACACTGGCACGTGTACCTAATTTACTGATTAGTAATTAATATTAATACAAGTATTTTGAAATCACGTAATTTTTGAATTGTTTATACCTAATATATTATATAGGTTAGGTATAGTATTATGTGTTTTATTACATAACGAGCGGGCTTTACGAAAGTTAATACCTAGACACCTCCTAGTATATAGAAATAATGTGGTTTGAATTCAGAATCGATCGAAAAACGAGAGTAAAAAGTACTGTTTTCATACTATACTAAATGGAGTAATGAACGATGCGAAATAATTCATTTAATTGGATTCAGTTCGATTATCGGGTTACCGCAATGTTTACGGGTTGCGAGTTTACGACAAACAATGCGTAATGTAAAAACAACATTACTAAATACGTATATCATATATAATATGTCTACACTTATTTAATTCGTATGTATGTGTGTTATATATATATAGCTCATACTATATTATTCGTGGAATACTTTTTTTTTTTCGTCATCATGTTAAAAACATGCAACTGCCAATAAAATAATAATAAAATATAGTGCATACGCAAGCCAATTTACCCACAGCATGTAAACAAATTTAATTAATTGGATTTGCCCGGAACGAGCGTGGACTTCGAGTCCTGGGTGCGTTTGACCTATATAACATGTAACTTTTTTTTAGTGTACAACCCACAGGCGCCGCTGAGGAGGAAAGAGGGAGACATTGTGTGACCTGCTCTTCCCACTATGGCCCAATAATAATATTTATTATCAAATTATCTGCCTTGGATGCCACAATATAATATATTTATTATATCTACATCGCACCGATGAATTTGGAACCTTGGAATTCGGTATTGGTTGGAAAACAAAAAATTCGTCATACTGTTGAGCGTTCTTTTGTTATAAAACTTGACTACCTACCAACCTTGGTTGCGATTTACAATAATAGATTTTGTTGGTAAAATAACGATCAATTACATCTGCAGCAGTGGGGTTCCGGTGAGACACGATGTCCTGTAGTAATTTCTACAGTGTATAAAATGATCTGTATTGGCGTATTGTACTGCACCAGAGCTGCAGAAAGGTTATAATGCAATAATACATACGCGTATAGAAATTCGAATTGTCTAAAAGGCTAAACCGACACTATAGGGTATCTGAACTCTGCAGGACGCTTTTAGAGTTTTAGACCGACTCAGTCTTAAAAGTAACATTGCCATTAAACATGCTCTTATAAAATAAATGCTTTCTCTCCTCAACATAAATCGTATGTACGGAATACGTGTTTGCGAATATATTTTACACGAAAATCGCAACTGGCGCCGACTCGAAAGTTATATAGTATTATTCCACGTCTCGCATGTTAAACTATTCAAACGGTGGTTACAGTACGGTTAATAATTATGTACCTATTACCATCAAACACCATAATACAATAATATTATTTTATACTATTTTAATATTAACAGGTGTATTAGATGCACAGAGGTTACACTAAAATGAACGTACCTATATTATAATAATAATATAGCAGCTGCACATTATAGCTTACGCTGCATATAAGGTCGACATCACTCGATATCGTGATTAAACGCTCCATGCACCGTCGACACGGAATTAATTTCATGTACAGTGCAAGTCGTGGGTTCTTCTGCACTCGGAGCGTACGTAAATCGTAGTGAAATATTATAATAATTTGTACACAGGTAGGTACCACCGACAAGTGCAAGTGCACTGCCCACAGTAATAATTATAAAATGTGTATACCAAAATAATGAGAGTTGGTGGTTACTCACTTTGCGTTGCGCTTCGGCGGCGAAACCAGACTTGGTGGCCCTGTTGTTTGCCATTTTCGACTGGGAATTCTATAGGATATCGGAATGTGGAACTGGGCGAAACGGACGTCGACGACGACGAGTGTTTCGATTACTATGCACGCCCGTGATCGACGGTTATTTATAGTATTGAGTGCTGTGATCGGTGACGACTGACGGGTACGTATCAGAGGTGCGGCGGACGACGTTCGTACAAGGCTGGTCTAAGATAACGACTGATTGGGTGACGGGCGTCGGCGACGGGTTGTCGAGTGTGAACCGGACTGTTCTGTACGGTTTTATTACGTTCGCCGCGAGCCGAACCTTACCGACGACGGTGACGACGGCGACGACGACGATGACTACGGCGGCGGCGACACATCCCGCAGCAGCCGCTCTCACGACCATAACCATAGTATTATTCAATATTGTTATTATTTATTTATTATAGCTGTTACGTCTTATTGGCTGCAGTCTCCAATATTTTCACCATACGTTTGGTACAGTAGTGTACTCTTGTACTCTTATTTATGCGATGTCGGCGCACTATTTGTTTTCTCTCTCTCTGACCCGGTTTCCACAAGGAAAATTAGAGTTGAACTGAATCAATCTTGTGCTTCAATATTATATAATACTATAATAAGAGTGCATTTACCTAGGTATTGTCAAAGTTATAAGGTTCAGACGCAATGTTTGTAAAGTTGGTTTTCTTACGATATTTCAATTTTTCCGCTCTATAGGTTTACAGACATTTTTCAACATTTCAAGTTTATACCACTATGAGAAGAGCACCAAAAAATATTGCATTTTTTTCATTACATATTTTTCTTAACCCCCATACATAAGACGTATTATTGTATTAATGTCAACTACCATTACCTTAGCCGCACCTAATAAAGAATCCAAATTTATGCTTTTGTAAAAAAAAGTAACTGAAGAAAAGAAAGTAAGTGAAGAAAAGAATTTAAAGTAATTACTTGATTAATTTCGATTATAATAATAAATAGTTACAATAATATTACTGATTTTGGCGATTTTAATGAACTATGTTCACCCAACAATTTTTTTTTTTTTTTGACACATTAGATTACCAATTTAAGTGTATAAAAAGATAGTCATAAGAAAAAATTATTTAGTTTTTGTAAATTAAACCTATACCAATTTATTATTTAAATTAAAAGTATTAATGCATATTTTACTAAAGTTTAAAGGACCATATAGTTAAGAAACTAGCTAACAAAAATGTATGATTTGAGTATCAACATTTTTATAAAAATAACCTTTTTACCAGAATCCATTAAAAATATAGTGATTACCATTTGAAAAAATAAAGTTGATTCTGGGAAGGTACACCTGCGTGTTTAAAAATTTGAAATTGTTATAAAAATATTGCATGTTAAAAATAAAGAAACACGTCGTTTTTAATTTTTTCAAAACTCCATAATATCATCGATTTATAATTGTTAAAAAAACCGTGTACAATGACATATATAGGATACCCCCCTTAATCATTATATATTATACCATTTAAACTAGGATACATTTATATTATATTAATTATTAACAATCAATTATAATTCATTTGAGTAACTCTTGTCTCCTTCACAGGCTAAAGCTTTTGCCTTTTGGAGACAAACCATTTCACTTATATATTGTAAATTTAAATTTATTATTTTTTGAAATAATCATAAATTAATTAATAAATGTCTATTTGTCTATAAATATAATATATAATTTTATATCGTACATAAACATATATAGCCATATAGCCATATAGGTAGTTATATAATTTTTACAAAGCTCGCGGTGTCTGGTAAAGGGTAATAAAATTATACGTTTCCCCGAGCGTGTATCGATGTGACGCCTTCTACGATGGCGGACGATGCGATATAATAATAATTGCGATCTCGTCGTCCTATTCTCCTTATTACTTATCATATATAGCTGGCGTACGTGCCAAGGATTAATCGTTATTGTTGAATTTGTTTATTACGATTACTATTAAAACACGCGCCACGCCGCCACGTCAATATAAATATTAAATAGTACTTGTGTCTTATTACATATTTCCAATTTACATATCATACGTACATGCATAATGCAAATGTCGTGTGTACAGGTTCCAGCAAGATCTATAATAGTTTTAATACGAACTTTATATAGATCTCGGGTTCTACCGCCGCCATCAACCGTGACGACAACATATTTTCATATATTATTATACTCGAACCTACGTTTTTTCGATTTACAAATACTGTACACTCTTGGTTAAATATTTATATTCCTCGAATCCCGATTAAGTTGGACGATTTGCCGAGGTATAGTTGCCTACTTAGGTATATATTTGAAATTTTAATCCAAACATAATATAATATAATACCAAGTACCTATATACCAACTATATAATCAACTTGAGCCCACTATGTATATTATACGTATATATACAACCAGAAACGTCCGTCTATATTATGTGCTCGTGTCCATCATAAAAAAGTTACTCCCACTGATGAGTCCCACCGTTTAACAGTTTCGTTTCACCACATAGAAATCATTACAATATTCTGTGGTTCCGCCGCCCTCTTTTCAGCAACGATCGCACGATGCCGTTTCACTAGAAACCTCCGCATCTGAACATAATACTTCATTTATTAAAATACATAATATTTTTTATATAGTATTATTAATTATTTCATTCACTGGGTTTTATTGTAAACTAAACTCGACTGTCGTGTGTCACGTGTATCGTATTGTACTCGGGTGTGATATGTGTATTGCGTATACAAGCGGCATTTTATATAGACATAGAGCGTATACTATAGTACCTATAAATATTACATCAGACATTTATTATTTATATTCGTCTGTATGCCACAACAGAGTGGAAATACTAAAGAGTGCGTATACGAATTACGAATGAATACCTATACATTAATAAAACCTAATGTAATAGCTACCTATATTTTAAAACTTTATTATATAGGTGTATATAGGACGTGCGTTTCCGTGGAATATAAGTATAGGTAATAGGTATACTGCAGTCTGCAGATGATAGTACGGTGCAGTATAGGAACTAGATAATATGTACTTATAGTTATATTATGTAAATATATAGTGTGAAAGGTTTTGGAATTATTTTTTTTTAGATAATTTATAGTCTCAATAAGTTTCAATATGTACAAATTTAATTTTTAATGAGTTATAAATAAGTTATAACTTATAAGCATAGGTATTTAAAGTTTTGATGAGCACGGGCCACATAGTACCTATAAGGGACCGACATTTTGCAGGTACCACCTAATCACTATAACTATATACATGCTCATAAAGATAAAAAATAAAATGTTGTATTGTCATGACTTCTAATTATCTAAAATAAAAGATATTTCTAAAAACGTAAATAATGACTATTCTATAAAAATAGTGTTCGTATTGTGTTTACTTTTAAAAGAAGTCACCCTGTATCTATGGTACCTACCTATAAGGCTATAACACATATACACACAATATCACTAGCACACAAAAACGGATTAGGCGAGGTTATTATTTACACAGCGTTTGAATAAACGTTTTAATTTTTTACAATAGTGTATATATATTATATATATATAGATATGATGACACATTATGCAAAGTATTATTTGGTGTCATTCGAGGCACTTTTTAGTTTTTATTTCCATATAGTGTTACTTTACTGTGGACTAGGTTTTACTATATATTTTTTTTTTGTAAAAATAAAAGAATTCTACAGTAGACGACCTCCATTTTATGAACTTTGAGCTTGGCGAAAAATAAACATACGAGAAATAAATTATTATAATGACAATAATAATTATGAATCCGTGTTCAATCCATATACAGATAGTTGTATTCGAATTATTGGATACCTACTTGTTGTAATAATATGAAACGTGAGTGACGACTGACGATTGTTTTTTTTATAAAAGTTTGAAAAAATATTTAAATATTTTTTTTTTTAAATGAATTCGGATTAAGTTTTGTGGCCTTGGAAAAGAAATCCTATTGTAGTATTATTTATTAGTATTCTGTTTAAAATATTTCATTAGCGTATTATTTGAAATAATAGAAATTAGGTAGGTATACCAATAGGTACTACACTACTACTTATATTCATAAATAATGTGTCTTTGTATACCTTTAATCAGTGATTAATCACCCGTTGTTTTAAACATATTATTTTTCACACTTAAAATCACACTAAGAAAATTATAAAGTCCGTTCTAAATAAATGTTTAATATTTTCAGTGTCCTTGGAGTTCTGGCTATTATGGCGTCTTTAATTTTCGAACCAAAAATGGGCATAATAAGTTGCAATCAATAAATTATAAATGTATGTAGTATATATTATATGTATTTATATGTGTATAGGACTGAATTGTATGTTTCAGTTTGTTCTTTGACTTTGTTATATTGTCTACTGCTGAGAATGACTTTAAAGTTTAATTTGTAGGATAAAATAATGTCTATCAGGTATATAGATTTAGAAAAAATTTCGATAAAATTATATGTAATACCCGAATATATTTATGCCCAAACTTATATATATCTAAATATCTTAAATTTAAATATAGGTATACCTAGGTGGCTAGGTAGTTTATTTTTCATGGGTCATACAACCATATGACAAGTAAATATATTCACATTATAAACTATAATGGGATTTAATTGAATTTGAAATGTCAATATAAGATTACAATTTAGTATTTACAGTAGTAATTTTATACCCAGCTGATGTCACTACTATAGCCTACAATAAGTATAAGTAGCTAGACTTTAATACGCTAAACAGCCTATATAGGTATTTATATCAACCGTGTTATATATATTATTATATTAATATTATATTATTGTAATAGCTTTATAATATATAGTGTTATAGGATACAAATTTAATTCATGCGGACACGCCCTATTATATTATATAAATATATACAGAGTGATTATTTTAAAGGCGAACGTACGTTTTTTACAAAAATTAAAGTCATTAATAAATTCGTAAATTCATTCATAAATCAACAT